CCAAAAAGCCTGCAAACCCAGTTGCCAAACACAGGCTTAATTATTTAAAGTAAAAAACTTTTGGTGAGTGGGAAAGAGATTTGGATCGTAGTTGTTTGGTTGTTGGCTTTCGACTGGTGAGTGGTGTGTGACCTAACCACAGGAAAATAACGTGGTCCAACATCAACAAAGAAAGACGTGAACACATATTATTGGTCTCTTTAATTTCTACTTCTGTACTTTTTTTTCTTTTTTTTAATCTTAAAAACTGACTATGCATATCTTGAAAGTTGTAGGAGTAGGAGGCGGAATTGGACTAGCAACGTTGTGGGTCTCACTCCCTCGTTAAGTGGATTAGTTTGGATGAATTTTATGTAAAATTAAAAAAATAGTGAGAGAAATGAGTTTATTTTATATAAAAAATTTATTTTTTTATACTTTTTTTTGTCAAGTGTACTTATTTGTTTAAATATTTATTTTATCATTTATTTAATATAGAAACAATTTATTTATTTGTTTTATATAAAAATAATTTAACAATCTCATTACTATCCATCTTTCATACTATCATCAAAATAAACACACTTTTATTTAATTCCCTCATTAATAATCCCTACATTAACAGTCTCTTCACTAACAATCCTCTTACTAACAATCTCATTTAATCTAATCCGTCAAACAAACTCTTCACTAATAATCCTCTTACTAATAATCTCATTCAATTTAATCAGTCAAACAAACGTGACCTATATATCTTTTTGTAATTAAATAACAAACATACAAAAAATTATTTAGACTTACAATTCAAGTGTTATAATTATATTTATAAAAATTAAAAAAAAATCTATTAAATTTAAAATAATATAAAAATTAAATATATACATATATATATTTTTTGTGTGTAGATATATATACAAATATTTTAATAAAATAATTTTTTATTTATTAAACACAAAAAATTAAAAATAAAATAAAAAAATTGACTCTTTTAGTCTCTCAAACAAACTCTTAAAATAGACGTGTTACACAACTACCAATATTAATTACAAATTTTCATTATATAATTAGAAAAGATACATGTTGGGTTGCAAATAAGTCGAGCCGAACTTTAGTATGTTTGGACTTATTTATTAAAATTTTAATGAGCTCGAGTTCAAACTCAATAAAAATTTAATGAACCGAGCTCGAGCCGAGTTGACTTAAACTTAAATATATATATATATATAAACATACTTAAAAATAATGAATATCTTACTAAAATAATAATATCTACCGCTACTATTATATAAATGTATTATCTATAATTAACTATTATTTACATATAAATAAATTTATATATTTTTTAAATATATAAATAATATATTTATCTTATTTTATATATATATTTTTATATTATTTAATATATAAATAATAAATATTAAACAAACTAGTTAACGAGTCGAGTTTTAGAATGTTTGAACTTATTTATTAAAAATTTAACAAGCTCGAGCTCGAACATAAATTTTTTTTAATGAGCTGAGTTCGAACTAACTTTTACTGAGTTGAGCTCGAACTTATTCACGAACGGTTTTGTTCATTTGCAGCCCTAAATATATGTTCAGGAAAAAATACTCATAAATTTATCCATAAAAGCAGATGCATAGTGAAGATTGAACTTGATATGGGACACACTGTCACTGCTATGCATGAAGCACAACAGTGACTGTTGTGTGAACCATATAACTCATTTCGGGTCCTATTTTAATGATTCGAACCGTTGAAAATTTAGGAAATATCGAGAATAATATATCTGTAACAAATCAAATTGATCGGATATTAATAACCTTCTCACCAAATAATATTTGTATTTAGTTTGATACATACATATTTATTTATTTTTTATATAAAGATGTTATTTAATGAACAGGTTATTAATATCTGATTAATTTAATTTTTTACAAGTATATTGTTTTTGATATTTCTTAAAATTTGAATGATTCAAATAGGACCCGAAATGAGTTTCATAAGCCGCATAACAGTCACTGCTGTGTTTTACGCACAACAGTAACACTGGATCACTTGATATGGTGTGGGTCTCTATCAACCATAACTAAAGACAAAATGAGACACAAATGTATTTATATTCCATTCTATATTTGATTTATGTATTTTTTCTTTGTACTTTTTTTTGTACTTCTAATACTATTATAAGTTGTTTTGGATATAATTTATAAATTAATTTTTTTTATTTATCATGAAAATAAATAAATAAATAATGTGACACAAATAGACTCATAAATCAATAAATAGTTTATCTGTCCTTCTAGTACCTACTATGTTATGTGGTGTTTTGGAAGTTGGTAAAAAGTAGACTTTTTAATTTTTTTAAAACTTTTTTCATCATTTAATGTGAGAGGCGATATGATACAAAATTAGTAAAAAATTAACTTTTAGCTTTTTTTGATCCCTTTCCAAAACACCCCTATAAAATCAGGTAAGATAAACAAAAGAATACACTTTTAAACAACCATTCAAATCCAATAATTTCATAAGGAGAAAAAAACACAAGAAAGATTATTGTTGGAAAGTTTATTAGTAGTTGTTTGCAATGCGCTATATAAGTGTGTTTTCTAACTTGTTGATTAAAAAAATAGAGAAAAAGATGTGTATTTGAGATAATTTTTTGACTTTTTATGAAAAGATGTATAATAAAATATTGTAGTAAAATTAAAATGACTATATTACCCTTTTGAATTTTAATTTTTGACTTTTTGAATAATTCAATTCGCTACAGAATAGTATAGATTTTTTAATTTTTTTAATAATTTTTTAATTTTTTAAATTTATTCCATACAAGGTCAAAAGTCACCGTGAGAGATACTCATTGAGTAGAAGTTAGTAGTTGGTTGAGAACAATGCCATGCGGCATTTTATATATATATTGTAATTAATAAAGAGAATGAGATTTACAATTTCATATTAAATAATTAAAAAAATATAAGGCTCTGTTTGGTTGTGCTCTGAAATCAATTTTCTACCCGTGTGTTGGAGTTTTTTTTTTGGGTTTGGTTATGGTGTGCAACTTACACCTTACACCTTATACCTTACACTTACACCTTACACTTACACCTTTTGTAAAAAATTAAACCTTACACTTACACTTTTTTTGAGGTTGCACACCATGTGCAACCCACTTACACCTTACACCTTACACTTACACCTTACACTTATACTTACACCTTACACTTACACTTTTTGTGTAAGTGGCACATGGTGTGCACTTGCACACTTAAGAAAACTCCTTTAAATTATCATCACATAATGCTCCAAAACTAACCATTAATTAGTGACAGAATCCAGATGGATGCCCCACGTTGGAAAGCTGACTTGCTTACAAAAAAACTAAAAGAAAATGAAAGTTTAATCTCCTTTTGATTGAGATGTTATTGCAAAGTCGGCCCTCTTGTTTCACTAATATGATTGTTGTCTCTTGTGAATCGTGAATAATTATACGTTTTCAAATTTTATTTATCTCATTCAAAATTAACATTCATTTAAAAGTAAATTTAAGTTTAAGATTAGCTAATTTTGAAAGTGTTAGGCTAGTAAAATTGAAAAAATAAATTAATAAAGATATGTATACAAAAATTGCATGTATAGACTGGATTTAGCTCATAATATAATTATTTTAAAATGAATCTTGAATCTTGACCATGCAGTGACTTTTCTTAATATATTTTTGTGTATGAATTTTGTGTGCGTAGCAGCTTAAAGAAAAAAAAAAGACAAACATCTTCACAAAACTACGAATTTGTTTGAAAAAATATTGGGGTTATGAAATTTTCCTGTCAATATGGGGACAAAAAAATGTAAGTTTTCAAAGTATTTGAGAAGTTCAAGAGAAACTTATTTGAATTTTCCGGGGTGAAAATAGTTTTTCAAGAAAAATGTGCAATGAAATCATAAATTTTGGTTTTATTTTTGTTATTAAAAAAAAAAAAGGAATGTTATACGCACTCTTCTTTTCTTCTTTTATGATTTACTTTTATTTTTACTCATCAAAATTTAACGAAGCCTACATAATTGTTATTTTTGTTGGATTTGTAAACTGAGTTATATATGACTATTCATTTATATAAAACCAAAGTATATGAAATACAATAAAATAAAAAGAGAATGTGAATACTTCTATCATTTAAAAATAAAAATAAAAATAAAAAATTGAATTGGATTATTTAATGAGTATTTATTCAGTAATTTCATTCTTACCCATTTAAAATTTATTTTAAATAAGTATTTTTTGTGTTTGGGTTTTTTATTAAGAATAATGTTATATGCACCCATTGGTATATTAATTATGGATGTTTAATAATTGGTTAAAATAGTTAAAAAATGAATACTCCTACAAAAAAATCGATATTCTCTTTACTTTTTTTACACATTTTTTTTTGTTTTGTTTTGTTTTGTTTTTTTTTGTAAAAAATAAAAGTTACTAATCCTTCGTTTGGAAAGAATTAATTTAGCCTGGTTAAATTAGCTCTGTTTAGGAATAATTTTTGGCTTTTTTTAGTTTGGATGTGATGGTTATGAACGAAAAAGTAAAATGATTATAATTTGAATTTGATATTTTATCTTATTAATTAAATTAATAGATTTTATCTTTTCTTATTTAGTCGTTTTAACCATTCCCAAACAAAGCTTAAAAAAAAATCAAATCTCAAACGAATCTTGAGAGGTGGTTTGGGGCTAAGTAATTTTTTTTTTATACACTTTTTTTTTACTTTTTTTGGGGTAAAATGTTAAATAAAAAAACAGTTTATGGAAAGTTGAGTGGAAAAGATTAGTGATTTTTTTGACTTTTTTTTAATTGTTGACAAATAAATTTTTCCAAACAATCCATTGGTGGATTTGGGAGGATTAATGGTTTAGATTAGATAAATATTAAAATTGAGGGGCTTATTTGAAAGAAAAGTTTGATTTGGACGGTTTTTTGAAATTTCACCAAACAATAGAAAACACAAAAGATTGTGCCACTGTAACTGTTACTGTTGTTGCAGATTTGGTGTAGGTGGGTCGGCCTACAAACCCAATTTGATCTTCACAATCACGTCTTTTTACTACTGGGTTGTTTTTCATTTCTCTGCAAAGTTACATGTTCTTGCTTTAATGGTCTGTTCGTGGAGGTTCTTTGATGGGTTCTGATATCTAGTTGGTTTTACTGAGTTAAAATTGAAGATAGAGAGAGGGATAGAGAGAGGAAAATGGGGGAGAAGTCTGAAGTTCTGGAGGCTGTTTTGAAGGAAGCTGTTGATTTGGTAATGGATCTTACAGTTAATGATGTGTTGATGTGTTGATTTCTTGATTGTTGTGTGTGTGAAATTTGATTGGCTGTTTCATTTGGGTTTTTGATGGATTTGGGTTCTGTGAATGCAGGAGAGCATACCCATTGGGGAAGTTTTTGAGAATCTGAGATGTAGCAGAGAGGGTTTAACCACTGAGGCTTCGCAACAAAGGCTAGAGCTTTTTGGGTACAACAAGCTTGAGGAGAAAAAGGTAATGCTTCTTATCAAAAACACCCTCATATGTGATTCCACTTTTTGAAATGTGATTCTGATCTTAACCCCTATTGTCTTGTCAACATTTATGTGTGTTGTATGTGTAACTCTTAATTTTTTTGAGTTTTATATAGGGTATGGATTGAAGTGATGTTTGATGTTTCAGCCCTTTTGAACTGTGATTCTGATGTTTTTATTTTTTTGTCACCACAAAAATTGGTGTGTTGGGTGTGTTTCAGGAGAGTAAATTCTTGAAGTTTTTGGGATTTATGTGGAATCCTCTATCATGGGTCATGGAAGCTGCGGCAATCATGGCTATTGCCCTCGCCAATGGAGGAGTAAGAACTCACTGTTTGGATTTATGTAACAATATTCATTCAAACCTTGCCATCTACTGCTAAATTATTGAAGTGTAATTTTTAATTTTTTCAGGGAAAGCCTCCTGATTGGCAAGACTTTGTGGGTATAATTACTTTGCTTGTGATTAACTCGACAATTAGTTTTATCGAAGAGAACAACGCAGGAAATGCTGCTGCTGCTCTCATGGCTCGTCTCGCTCCCAAAGCCAAGGTGTCGGATTACATATCATTTACATTGTCATTTTCATTAATGAAATTAAATCATATTTGTTTTAGTCGTGACTTAATGAAGTTATGGGAAAGTGACTGAATGTTTCCATTTTTATTTTTGATAATATACATTACCTGCTGTTCTGAGTTTGTTTCAATCTTAACTGTATGGATTTAAAGGTTCTTCGAGATGGAAGGTGGAGTGAGGAAGATGCTGCTATTTTAGTACCCGGAGACGTAATTAGTATAAAACTTGGAGATATAGTCCCTGCAGATTCTCGTCTTCTTGAAGGCGATCCTCTGAAAATTGACCAGGTGGGTATTGGATTAGCATTGCTGTGCATGCGCTTTTCATGTTTTAGTGGTTGAGTTTTAGCTGTGTTACTGAAATTGTCCTGCTTGGGTAATTTAGTCTGCTTTGACAGGGGAGTCTCTTCCTGTAACAAAAGGCCCCGGAGATGGTGTTTACTCTGGTTCTACTTGCAAGCAAGGAGAGATTGAAGCTTTGGTCATTGCCACAGGGGTTCACACCTTCTTTGGGAAGGCTGCTCACCTTGTTGATTCTACTAACCAAGTGGGCCACTTTCAAAAGGCAAGGAAGTAGAAATTTTATGCCTTTGTTCTAACTTGCTATGTTTTTCTTGTTCAATAACATTCCATTATTTCCTTGATCTTATTAGGTCTTGACAGCAATTGGAAACTTTTGCATTTGTTCTATTGCGGTGGGAATGCTAGTTGAGATTATTGTGATGTACCCAATTCAAGATCGGAAGTATCGCCCTGGGATTGACAATCTTCTTGTGCTTCTCATTGGAGGTATTCCAATTGCCATGCCAACGGTTTTATCAGTAACAATGGCCATTGGTTCTCATCGCTTAGCACAGCAGGTTGGCTTGGTTTCCTGGGTTCTTTTTGTTGCTTTGAGTTGAGGACTTGTGTATATATGACATAATATTTAATAATGACTGCAGGGAGCTATTACAAAGAGAATGACAGCAATAGAAGAGATGGCGGGCATGGATGTGCTTTGCAGCGACAAGACTGGAACTCTGACTTTGAACAAGCTCACTGTTGACAAGAATCTTATTGAGGTAAGTGAGGAGGTGCCTTTCCCTGTTTTGATTATAAGCATGGTTATTGGATTCTTACAATTCATGATTTGATTCGTATGATTCGATATGAGTTTCAAGCAAAACGATTCAATTGCTATTCAATTGATTTAGTTCTATTTGCATAATGCATGAAATGGCGTTGCTTTCACAAAATAAAAAAAGAGATCAACCAATTATATTGATATATATGGTTTTAAACACTGTGTATTTGCATGTATATACATACATATATAAAATTATATATTATGCTAAATAAAGTGAATCTTATGGCTCATGATTCACTATTTTAGCAAAATGATACACAATTCGATTCGTGATTTGATGACAATGATTATAGGTGCGTCTCTCTGTAAGAGATTGTGGCTCTTGTTCTAACTATATTCCTGCACATATCTTCTCAGGTTTTTGCCAAAGGAGTAGATGCGGATACTGTAGTTTTGATGGCAGCTCGAGCGTCACGAGTAGAAAACCAGGATGCAATTGATGCCGCTATAGTTGGGATGTTGGCTGACCCAAAAGAGGTAATTGGCTGATTATCACAACTTCTTTACACTTTTAATTGGAGCTGATACAGGCAAGTTGCTTCTTTGCTTTGATAATTATCCCTAAAGACAATATGACAGGCACGTGCTGGCATTCAAGAGGTACACTTCCTGCCCTTCAATCCTACTGATAAGAGAACAGCATTGACTTACATTGACAGTGAAGGTAAAATGCATAGGGTCAGCAAAGGTGCTCCAGAGCAGGTATCGATATCATCCTCGCTTGCTTTATGGGTTTAGCTCTTCATTTCTCTGTTGTTTATCCTAATTCATGATTGCAATGTGGTTGTTAGATTCTAAATCTTGCCCACAATAAGTCGGACATAGAGCACAGGGTTCATGCTGTGATTGATAAATTTGCAGAGCGAGGTTTGCGATCACTTGCTGTAGCATACCAGGTAAGTTGATTCCCGTTCCCTTAATTTATGATCCCTTGATTTTATCATATGAGTTGTAGATAACTGAAATTGTTTTAATTTTATTGGTTTCGGGAATTTTGATTTGATTAAATTCTCCTTTTCGGTGCAGGAAGTACCAGAGGGAAGGAAAGAGAGCGCCGGAGGTCCCTGGCATTTCATTGGTCTCATGCCTCTCTTTGACCCACCCAGGCATGACAGTGCAGAGACAATAAGAAGGGCCTTAAATCTTGGAGTAAATGTTAAAATGATTACAGGTGCAGTCCATTTTGCAGTTTTAATGAGTGTTTTGGCTTTGTGATTGCTATAGTATCGGATCCTGAAGGATGTATAAAATTTATATAAGATGCTTCTGTATGTGCCCAAACTCTTCTACCATAATGTGGTCATGACATCTTTTTGTTGAGTGTGGCTTTGGATGAAATAATATTTTTTCCCTTTCATCATGCCTAGATTGCCAGCCCATTTGGATGGAGTGATTTCATGAGAAATGATAAGAAATGAAGAGAAAGATGACTCTATCTCATGTTTGATTTACAAATTAAGTAAGAAATGGTGAGAACTGGAGAGAAAGAGAACTATCTTATTATTTTCTCACCAAAAACGGTGAGATTTGAGATTTGGTGGGAAACCAACTGATTGGTTGTATAATTTTTATGATACCAAGATTAAACATCAAAATACAAAGGAAGAAAAATAAATATCACCCATATTCCTAATTTTTACATTTTTTTCTCTAACTCATCCAAACATGATTGTGAGAAAACACAATTATTTCTTTTCTTTTCTCAGCCCACTATTAGGATGCATGATCGCTTTGGCTATTTTAGAGTGCTCCACATGCTTATACTTCATTTTAGCGAACCGGGATATTTAATACCGTATTGATGGCTGAACATTAAAACTTTTTATCAGGGGATCAATTAGCAATAGGAAAGGAAACTGGACGCCGCTTGGGAATGGGAACCAACATGTATCCTTCTTCTGCTTTGCTCGGACAGAACAAGGATGAGTCCATTGCTGCTTTACCAATTGATGAGCTCATAGAAAAAGCTGATGGTTTTGCCGGTGTCTTTCCTGGTATGGAGTTTATTTATTTGAAATTTTATTATATAATCTTCCTTTGGAGTTGATGTATGCAATGCCAAGATAGAATGTTTCTACATAATTGTTGCTTTCGTTGATGGGCTTATTGTGGTTATTAAATCAGAACACAAATATGAGATAGTAAAGCGATTGCAAGCTTTGAAACACATCTGTGGAATGACTGGTGATGGAGTCAATGATGCTCCTGCACTTAAGAAGGCTGACATTGGCATTGCTGTTGCCGATGCAACTGATGCAGCTCGGAGTGCTTCTGATATTGTCCTTACTGAACCTGGTCTTAGTGTCATCATTAGTGCTGTTTTGACTAGTCGAGCAATTTTCCAGAGAATGAAAAATTACACGGTATGCATTGGTTCACATGATGGTGTTTATCTGTACTATTATTATATAGAGACAACTCAGAAGGTTTTGAAGCTTTGTAACGCCTTTTCTTTTCCAAAATGTATTTTGTTAACTGCTTTGGAATATAACTACTAGTAGTTTTCAAATTCAACTCATCTTCTTCATTTATCAAATTATCAAAACTTTAGATGTAAAATTGCAAAAACATCGCTTTTGCATCCATCACTAGTTCTTACAATTGACTTTTTTGACTTAGCCGTCACAGGTTTAGTTTCTATTGAACTATTCTTTCCATTTTTCGGGTATAACTATGTTAATGGTACTTGAGGAGTTATGAGCTCTTACTGTTGTCATGCCACCTTTTGTGAATCTATGTTCGTTTATTTATTTATTTATTTTTGCAGATTTATGCTGTTTCTATTACAATCCGTATTGTGGTAAGTTCTCTAGTGTTTTTCTCTGGAAGGTTTTGTTATGTAGAATGTATATGGTGTCTTAGGACCATAAAGTTTGTACCTTTGTTTGTTTGAGAGCATCCTATTATAATTTCTTACCCTGGTCTGCGTGTTTTTCACTGTGACAGCTTGGTTTTATGTTGCTGGCCCTGATATGGAAATTCGACTTTCCACCTTTTATGGTTCTTATCATTGCAATCCTCAATGACGGTTTGTTCTTTCTTCTCCCACATATCTCTCTTTCTGATGAACATTTATGGACATGTGTCTGGTTGCTTACATTGTTCAAGAAATGTTTTCATGGTTATTGAATTTATTTATTTATTTATTATTTGTAATGGAAATAACTGGCCAACAATGATTTTGAAATTGGAAGAGTTTAGATGGTTTGCTCTTATTTTCTCCTTTATTTCTTGGGTCATTGTTAAAAGCTCATGTACTCCTCATTGCCTTAGGTATTTTTTTGTTTGGTTCACTAGAATGAAGGTGGAATGTAAATTATGTAATGGAATGGTCATTGCTTAGCCTCCCTATGGAATGATTATTACCTCACAATGGTGAATGATTATTTCATTTGCAATACATTTTCCATTATTTTTTTACAAAACTAATGTGAGAATGGACATTCTGATGGAATCGTCATTCCATTACTCCTTCCTATGAATTTCGGATCATAAAACTTTGAGCTCTTCTGGTTGTTTTATGCAATTTATCTAAGACAACTTTCTGGGTTTCTTTTATTGGCATCTCACTATCACCTGTGATATGTCACGATGTTAGGTACCATTATGACAATATCAAAGGATAGGGTGAAACCATCTCCTATGCCAGACAGCTGGAAGCTGGCTGAGATTTTTACAACGGGTGTTGTTCTTGGTAGCTACTTGGCAATGATGACTGTCATATTCTTTTGGGCAGCATATAAAACGAACTTCTTCCCGGTGAGCACGCCTGCCTTCATTAATATAAGTCATAAATATTGGTCTAAAATTATTTTATATTTCAAGCTTCTATTTAGTTATTGATGTGGTTTAGCAGAAATCATACATGTTTCTTTTTTTAAATTTAAGAAAATTCATGCAATTTTGATTGATGGGAAAAAGGAATCATGCCACTGATCTGACTTGTTTGTTTTATCTCTGCTGTTTGTTTTTGTCTTCTATCCTGAATTCTTTGCGCTTATCAAACGCATGTGCATTTAGTTGCTTTGTTAGTTTAGTGTCTGGGATTAATGACTTTCTAGTTGATCTTCTCTCATGTTTTTCTCAGCGGGTATTTGGCGTGTCAACTCTTGAGAAAACTGCTCACGATGACTATAGAAAGCTTGCTTCAGCTGTATACCTTCAAGTCAGCACTATCAGTCAGGCTCTCATTTTTGTTACACGATCTCGAAGTTGGTCCTACGTCGAGCGTCCTGGCTTGTTGCTTGTGGTGGCTTTCATGGTTGCTCAATTAGTGAGTCACTTGCCATTTATTTTAGTGCAATTTCTTTATCAGAAAGTGAGGAAACCTCAACTTTATCTTTGACGCGAGCAGATTGCTACCTTAATTGCTGTTTATGCGAGTTGGAGCTTCGCTGCAATTGAAGGAATTGGATGGGGTTGGGCTGGTGTGATTTGGCTTTATAATATCATCAGTTACATTCCTCTTGATATCATAAAGTTTCTCATCCGCTATGCACTGAGCGGGAGGGCTTGGGATCTTGTTCTTGAGCAAAGGGTATGGAAGGCCTAATCTGATGGGGTTTCTTACTAATGACTTGATTTTATTTTTATTTTTTTTCTGTAAGTTTTTTTATTTTTATTTTTATTTATTTATTGCAGATTGCCTTCACAAGGAAAAAAGATTTCGGGAAGGAACAGCGTGAGCTTCAATGGGCACATGCTCAAAGAACCCTTCATGGGCTACAAGTGCCCGACCCCAAAATGTTTAGTGACCGAAACAATTTCACGGAGCTTAACCAGATGGCCGAGGAAGCCAAAAAGAGAGCTGAAATTGCAAGGTGTGCATGAGCTGACTAAAATTATATATTTTTTTGTGCCTTTTCCATTACATTACTAGGCCATTAATCAAAGCCTTACTTTGCAATTGGAGTAAAAAGAGGTTCAATGGTTAAATTCCTTTTTTGCTTTATCAACATGATTAATTTAGATAGATATGTGTGTTGTTATGGTTTTCTTTTGGATTTTTCTGATATTTTTTTGTTTGCATTGGCCTTTTGCAGGTTGAGAGAACTACACACTCTGAAAGGTCATGTAGAATCCGTGGTGAGATTGAAGGGTCTAGACATAGAGACAATTCAACAAGCCTACACAGTCTAAGGAGAACCAAGCGATACAATTTACTGGTGCCGAGGGTAAAAAAGATGTATAATGAGCATGTAGTTATGACTCTCTGAGTTTCCCTTGAAACACTTTCAATTGTTGTGCCTTTCATTACCATTGTTGACCCTTGTTCATCTTTGTCTTGGCACACATAACCCTGGAATTGTCAAATTCTAGTGTTTATATTAGTAATGTTTTTGGTCTTCTATCCTTTTCTACCTTACTTTTGAGGCAATCAATGTCCTTGAAAATGTATATAAGAAGCTCTGTTTGGTCGTCTTGCTTTTTCAGAAGTGTAGTTTGTGCTTCTGATTTTTCTGGTGTTTACCCTGGATATCTGGTTTTTGTTCCACTTAGGGGTGTAATTTTGGCCCGGCCCGGCCTGGCCCATCTGAGCTCGGGCCGGACCGGGCCTATGTCGGGCCTTGCGGGTTGCCGCCAAAAAACCAGCCCGGCCCATGGGTCAGAAAATTAGGCCCAGGGGTATTCGGGCTTTTGGTGGACTAGTGGGCCGGGCCCCTGGGCTCGGGCTTTGGGCAGGCCTAAACAAATTTTTTTTAATTTTTTCACTAAAATTTTATTATTTTTCATTGAAAATAACATTGGGCCTCGGGCCGGGCTTTTGGGCGGGCCTTGAGCGGGCTGATGGGCCGGGCCGGACCAGACTTCAAAACGATGGCTCAAGCCCTGGCCCAAGGCCTCGGACTTTCACTCTAGGAGGGAGGAAATGCTAGTTTTTTAGAAGCATCCATTCTGAAGACTGGATTCTTGACTTGTTTTCAAGGTGGGTAGAACTCGTGGTTCGGGATTTTCTTGTACTTACTGGCTTGTGAGGAGGGAGAGAGAGAAAGAGAGAGAGAGCCGAACACATTTCGCTTGGAATTCATACCCATATAAAAGTTTATGCCTGTAGGTGTTGAGCTCCCATCCAATGTATATTAAGACCATTTCTTTTCTTTTTTTTTCTTCTTTTTTTCCTCTCAATGTTGGACTCTTTGAGTTCACGCATGTAAAACACTCAATAGTAGGAAATTAAAGGAAATATATATAAGAAAAATTGATATATTGCGTCGAAATGTTGATTGTCTAAAGATTTTTGTTAATATTACGAAACATTCAGAAACACATTTCTCAATAATAAATAGGGAACACATTTCTCAATAATAAATAGGGAAAAGAGATCGATACACAGAGAGCCACTACATGAAGTTTGAGAAAGATATTGAGGCATTTTCTTTGCCATCAGTTCCCAAGGATGGCTCTACTATTAGGCCACTTAGGCTGTTGTCTAAAGCTCACAAAAAAATTAAAATTTTTTTTATTGTCAAAAGTTCTTAATTTTTTAAAAACTTAGTTAGATGAGATCTCATTTTAGTTGGAGATTTCTAAAAACCTTGATCCGTTGCTGTCAGTTCCCAATTTCAAAAACGCATGTGATGACGGAACCCTTCACTAGATGGAAGCCACCCATTATCTACTTAGGAAGACTAGGGTGAAGCACTTGGGTGCATTGATTGTAGTTGTAGATTTATTAAGATATTTTTTAAATTATGTTTCCAAATATATTAGGTTTAGTTTTCTATTTTAATTAGGGTTTTTGGTCTATAAATATAAAGTTTTGGAATTGTACTATTCAGATTTGGTTATAATAATATTGTGAAAATTTAGGCTGTGTTCATTTTGTGTACACATTGAGCTGCTAAATTTAGGTAGATCTATCAGTATTATTGATTGTTCCTTAGCTTGTGCTCTATCCATTACCCAACAAGAATATAGTTATAATACAAGACAATCTTTACAGCTGAATCTTGTTCCATCTAGGGCACCACTGTTTTGACATGAACTACATGGATAGTACGGCCTTCTCAAACCATGTTGTGGATTGGCGCCTAGATGTACCCGTTTGTAAATGTTCGATAAATCCTAACCCAACTCCATGTCGTTTGTCAAGGACATTTAGTCCGATGGTATCATTGGAACACACTCAAATGAAATTTTGGTGTTTTTCGCTAGAGGCGAAGTTAGCGTGTTTAAAGCTTTACAAGTTCTTTATGCACTATCTGCCACTGGTGGTAGGTTCAATTGTTCTCGCCCTTTGTTTAGCAACTCACCTTTAAGAGTAGGCTAGATATGTGTCATGTATTTTGGTTTTTAAATATAAAAGAAAAGGTAAATTACACTCACTTCCCATTAGGTTTGGAAAAAAATATAATTAATCTTATATTTTTTACATAATTACACCGACCTCCCCTTTAATGCTGCTAAAACGATTGAAAGTAATGTAAACAATGGGTAGATTTTGAAATAAACAAAGTTAAATATATATTTTTAGTTTAAAATAGAGGACAATATGATTTTTAAGCAAATTTCACTTTTTTCCGGTGGTTTGAGTTATGTGCGATTTACCCTCTTATCGTTTGAAAATGACCACGTAACTCTCATATAGTTTGTGGACCAAAGTATACAATCTACTTTTCCATCCAAGTTAATTGACTGTGAGATTCACACGCTCGTAAAGAGAGTGAACTGTATTTTAAGACCAAAATACACTTTGTACTTCTTTAAATTTACAAAAGCATGTCTCTTTTTCCTCATTTTCTTCCTCATCCTTTTTCCTCATTTTCTTTCTATAACCTGTACATTCACGCACATGGCAGTTTCTCGCTCACCAAAACACACAAACAACTTCCATTGAAACCAACCAGCAAAGCTTTCAGCCAAGGACGAATGAAACCCATCAATAAGAAAAACCAACGAACTAATTGCAACAAATGCCATGTATGATTGGTTTGCAATTGATGGGCAACAAGGTTTGAGTTAATCCCAAAAATATGATTCTTTATCCAAATATAATTTTGCACACAACTTGAAGAATTCTTTTTTTCTACATATATACTATATAAATAAATCAAAAATTTATTCACAAATCCAAGCTTTAACCAAAAGCACTTTAATATCTTTTAGAAGCATATCCATTGACCCAGCAAAAAAACAGCCCAGTTGAATCTATCCAACAATGATTGAGAATCCTTTTTTTTTTGAAAACTCCCGTAACCCTCTTTGGATCTCAATCATTGATGGTGTGAGCCTCACACATAAGTCCCATATATACATCAATGATTCCCATATATACATCAATGATTGAGATTCAAAAAGGGTTATGGGGTCTTTAAAAAAATGAGGTCCCAAACATTTTTCGAATCTATCTGGGTTCTGAATCAAACCCATTTTCAATTTGATTCTCATCAACTTTTGTTAAATGGGTTACTGTGAATGATTTGAGGAATTCAATATTTAAATTTTAAATTGATTTGTAGAATGTTGAATGATTAGATAATATATATATATATATATATTTATAAATTATATATACACACGTATTGTAGAATGTTGAATGATTAGATAATATATATATATATATATATATTTATAAATTATATATACACACGTATATAGATTATATATCAGTATGTATATGCACATTTACTGTTGATGAATGGTGAGAATGAGTAATTGATTTTTTGGTGTGGAGATGTGTGTGCCAAGTGTGCCGTTTGGATTTCTCGCAGAAGTTGGAATTAAATTTGTTAGAGTTGGCAGCATGTAGAAGAAGAAAGAAAATGTGTGTTTGTATATATATAGGTTTAATTCAAAAGAGAGAAGAGGAGGAAGACGAGAGTATAAAAGTAAATTTACATGTTCTGTTAATAGAAGTCTGTGTGGGTTTTGATTCACAAACCATATGAAGGTTATGTGATCATTTCCAAACGTGAGGGGGTTAAACTGCACATGTCCCAAACTATAGGGGGTAAAGTGAAATTTACCCATAATTTTTTTATTACTGGAAAATTTGATGAAAAATAATCTAATTGTTATTTAAATTAAAACCTCAAGGCATAGCTGGTAAAGTGTGGAATTAATGGTATTTTTTTTTAAAATTTTTTTTTCAAGAGAGAGAGGTGAGTGTAATTTATAAAAATAAAAAAAAGAAAAATAAAAAACTATTTTTAAGTTAAAACCTCTTGTGAGAAACCAAGAACCACAAAATGTATTGCAACTTGCAAGAGTGTCATGTCATGTTACCTTTTGAAGAATTATTCTCTTTCCAAAACTAGAAGTTACCAAATCCTTGAATAATTATAAAAAATGTTCAATTATCTTTGCCTTAAAAATAACTAATATGTATGCAGATTATATGAGCATCTCTTTTGACCTCAATAATTAAAATCAAATTTTGCATTGATTGAAAAAGCTAGCTAATTGGTCAAGTTTTACATAATTAGAAGAGAAAATTGCAAAAAGCTAATTGACATTTCATTTGATATGTTAACACCACATAAACCAAATAAGTGCCTCAAAAATAAACAAATATAGTGCAAGGCCAAACCAGCAAGTGGGAATGAAGTTTACCCTATCATTCGGTCAAACATAATCTGTAAAAAAATGGTTAAACATATTTGATTAAATAAGTTGTTATATAATTTTTTTGTGTGCAAATATTTAAGATGTCTTAAAAAATTATAATTAAGGCAAAAAACATAAGACTCTTTTGTCGATAATAAATTTAAGGGTTTCAAATAAGTTAAAAATGTTATAAATTGTTGCTTAAGAAAATCTCACTTTACTTGGGTCAAATAAATTGAAAAGTTCAAATAAGTTCTAATTTAAAATTGCAACTAAATACTATTAGTCAACTTATTTTAGTCAAATAAACTAAATAAATTGACTTATAAGTGTTACCAAACGGGATCATAATTTTGGTTTACAACTTAAAGACAAAAATATTAATTGGAAAAAAGCTAATTGTTTACAACTTAAAGACAAAAATATTAATTGGAAAAAAAGCTAATTATTGGAAAGTAATAAGAGAAATATTTTTGAGGGTGAAACACTAATAAATCTCAAAATCTAATTTTGAGAACTGTTTAGTCCTTCATTTTTTTTTTAATGAACCCAAAGTTTCCATTAAAGTGAAAATTACACAAAAGAGTAGTCAATTTAATGTTTGGGTTTAATTTTTGAGGAATAAAAATGAATTTCTCAAAATATGAAATTACACATTGGACAATCCGCATTATAGAGGTTTTGGGTTTTTCCTCCTTCTAGAACAAATCTCACGTTACGAATAAGAACGCAACACTCCAATAACGTAACACTCACAGTTTGAAATTATAAATTTACCCAAAGCTTACTAATGAATTTTTGTACTCTTTTTAGAATAGTTTGAAAAATCACACATTTTTTTTTAGAGTGTTACATTGGAATATTATGTTTGAAAAAAGTATACTAAGGTCAAGTTTGGCATATACAAAATAATCCATCTTTTTATCTTTTTTTCATCATATCATCTCTCTACTTTTCTGCACATCTTTTCATAAAAAGACAAAAAATGCACTTACTTAGGTCATCCCAAACAACCCCTAAGAAACTTTTTGTGTATTACATTAGAGTTTTATACTTAGGAGTTTTTTTTTGAGTGTTACATTGGAGTACTATGTTTGAAAAAAGTATAATAAGGAGTGTTACATTACAGTGTTACGTGTGAGTGTTATATTAGAGTGTTACAGATTAAGATTATAGAGGTGTTTGGGAACCTTTGACATAGGCTATTTTAGCCTGAAATTGTAAAAAAGCCCAAAAGCCTCAAATTGTCCCGCCTAATTAAAAAAAAATAAAAAAATATGAAAAGCAGCGGTTGTCAGCAGCAGACAGCCTACACTGCCACCAACAGTGTAGGTTGCAGACAGGTAAATGACCATTTTACCCCAACAGCTCAATTTTGAAAAAAATAAGGTTAGGGGCAAATTTGTCATTTCAATCTTAAACATCATTTCAAACACATTTTTTAATACAACAATTAACCCAAAAATTTAACCCAACTTCCCAAACACAAACTGAAATAGCCTACTAAAATAGTCAAAAAGCCTAAAAAAAAGCCACTTCCCAAACATCTACTATATATTGTTCAAAGTTTACTAAGGAGTTTTTGTATTTCTTTTGAAATGTTTGAAGAATCTTACATCCTTTTAGAATGTTTGAAGAATCTCATATTTCAAATCATTCCAAATATTAAAAAAAAAAAAAAAAATTCTCATATAAAAATTCATTCCAAATTTGATTATCATAAATTGTGTATTTTACCTTTCTAGCACAAAAGAAAAAGAAAGAAAAAAAGAAAATATAATAGAAATAAGGGTATAATTGTAAATCTAATTTTTAAATAATATATTAAATCTACCTTTCAAAATCAATGGGATTAATTGGTTTATAAGGAAACTCTTGAGACTAATTAGATCACTTTTCCTTAATATGAGATTTATAAGTAAATTTTTCTATTTTTAATTTCTATTTTATGATTATTAACTCTCAATTTAATAGAAATTGCGCCAAACAGCCGTAATGTTTTGCAAGTTGCACCTATTGGTTTAGTGAGCTGAGCTCACATGGTATGACACTCACACTTACTGGTATACAAATTATTCAATTAGTGTAATTAATTATATACCTATATGTGATTTGGCTAGTGCTAACATATATATTTATTTTATACAAGTTATGTTTTATAAATTATTATAAACTATATTAATATTTCAGTTACGTGGATTATTTTCTGAATTCTATTTGCTTAAAAGGAAATTCATGAATATGTTTATTTATATTTTAAAGAATATTTGACTATAACCTTGTTAGCACCATAAATCTGCAATTTTTATTATTATTTATTATTTATATAATTGCAGGACACGTGGCATCCTCTTATTCATTTGGAAGTTAAAAGAAGTTATAGAGATAATGGAGAATATGAAGGACAAAGTGGATGAGTGGGAGGACAAAGTGGATGAGTGGAATGACACATGGCAAGACAAGAATGAAGATGGAAGAAATGGGTAGTTACTAAGTAGTTATTGCTGTATTTTTTCTTCTATAAATAGCCATTAATGGCTACATTGTAAAGGAGCCAGAATTCATAATCAAAGACAATTGATTTCAATATTTCTTGTTATTTTCCTTACCTTAGGAGTAGCTTAACATAGATTTATATTTCGAAGCATTTATTTTCAGCATTTCCATTTCGAAGCATTTTATGCACTTTCTTTTCGAAGCATAGGAGTAGAGGTAAGTAATTATTACTTTGATTGTTCACTCAATCATCTTTCTCCGTTCCCCATTCTTCTTTTAATTTTTCTTTTCTTTACACTTGGCAATCTTGAAGTCCTCTTCGTTGAGGCAAAAGAACCGTCAACACAATCGCTTGATAATTGGCTTGAATTTAATCTGTAAAGATTTTTCAATCCTTGCTGGCACGCTCGCATTTATGATATTTTCCTTCGTAGGAAAAATAAGCCAACATTTTAGCCAACAGAAATACAAGCTTCTGAGGTCAACCAAGAGGACATCTGGATGGAGCTGTCCTGAGCCAGGATCAAAATCTTCTTTTGAGTATAAAAAGATACGGGATCTATTTTGGCCTTGTTTGGAAAATTGGCTATTTTAGTTAGTTTTTTGGTTATTTTTTAGTTTTTATTTTTTTGAAATAACGTTAGTATGTTAGTATAGTTAGATTATAATTGAAGGGCCGCCGTTGTTCCATCAGCTCGAACCCTTGACCTCCCATTCACTGCATCCTAAGGTGTAGCTATTAGACCATTGGGCCACACCCCAATACTTGTTTTTTAGTTATTTTAGCCTAGCTAAAAAGGTTGTGTGGGAAGTTGGTTGATCTTTTTTATAGTTGATGTGATGGTTGTGCGAGAAAAAGTAAAATGATTATGAATTGGATGTGACATTTTGTCTAATTACCTATTTTAACCTATTTTATCTTTTAATGAGTTGTTTTACCCCAATCCTCTTCCCAAACAGGACCTCTATCTAGTAGAGCCAACAAAATGGAGTTTATTGTCTGCAACTCCTGAACAGAAAATTTCCTCCACGTGTTGGAGTGCACTTTCGAAATAGGGGCTAGTCATAACTTTAAAAAGGAAATGACATGCAAACATAATTCGTTCATTTGGAATTACAAGTATTAATGCACACAAAATGAATTACAAGTACTGCATTTTGTAGCAGCTTCTAGATTTAGACAAAGTAAAGGCAGTAGTGTTTCTGAAATTAACTTCTTAAATTTCCATTAATTTTATTTTAACAAATTCAAGTATGGCTAAGACCCCCCCCTCTTTGTTTTACAATTGTTAGGAGGGAAATAGAGAAAGGAAAAACTTCATTGCACAGCGGCGAAACTTGAACACAGACATATATGTTTTCGAATTAAAAGGTCGTGAATCTACGTAAAATCAGAGTATCAATTCTAACGTATGGTTCTAAAAATTAAGGACCATGACATCTGATTTTCAATAAATATCGCTTGATACTCCTGATGCTGTTATACATGACTGATACCGATACGTTTTCCAATGCCATTTTTTAATTTCGTGGTCTTACTGCTACTTGGTGCAGTTTCCCCTTCCCATATCTCTTCCTACTTATTGTTCCAAAAAGAAAAAAAGAGAAAAAATTGTTTGCCATCATTTGTTGTAAAGCAAAGGAGGCCTTGAAGACTTCTCCAAATAGGTTATATTTTTCAAACAAATGTATCAAACAAGAGGTTTCTCAGAATACATTTTTTCCATTGCCACATCAGCTGTGTTGGCACTGGTTCCTTTGTACTTATACCACTTTGCACATACTAGGAAGTGCCCAAAATTTAAAACCTCCAAACCAGCAATTAGGTGGTAGAAAAAGTCCAATTTGCCCTTGTTAAGATCTTCTGCCAGCCAATTCCCTGTTGCAGCACCATTTGTAGTCCTATGGACTACAGATATCAAGAAACTGCTCAAATAACTTGACAATGCCAAACCACAAAACAAGAAAGACCCACCAATGCTCCTCATGTTTTCTGGGAATTGCTTGTAAAAAAACTCAACTTGGCCGATGAGAGTGAATGCCTCAGAAAGTCCTGCTAGTGCCAATTGAGGTATTAGCCACATCCCTGACATCGAAGAAACAACACTTTTTCTTGCTTCTGTTTCGAATATAGGCTTAGTAATTGCCACTGTCCTTCTTTGCCTTTCGATCAAGGCGGACACAAGCATTGTGATGATAGCAATAACCATGCCAATACCCATCTTCTGGAGAACCGTGATTCCATCTTCATTTTTTGTGAGTTTTCGGAGAAATGGGACTATGATTCGATCGTATATGGGTATCCATATTGTGAGGGTGAGCATTGAGAAGATGATGTAGGATGCTGCTGGGATTTTGAAATTGTTGTTGGTGCCTAGTCGTCTGTCGGATTGAAGGGCTTGGAAGACAACGTAGGTTTGTTGTTGGACTATGGCAACATAATAGATGATGCCTGCAGCCCAAATGGGTAGCACCCTCAACAAGCATTTCACTTCTTCTACTTGTTGGATGCTGCAAAGTCTCCATGGATCGGCTGCTGATCCATCTGGTTTGATTTGGTCTTCATGGGTGACAATTGCTGCTTTGTTAAAAAATCTGAAATCATCAAATTTACAAATTTACAATCCAAGAAAGGAGTTTTGATTGTGTGATTGATGGAGTTGGTTAAGAGCTAATCGTATCGTTCTTGTATTTGGGCAGTGTAATTGTTAGAGCTGTTTAATTCAAGGATCAAAATTTCATCTTGGTATGTTGTTTCAGTCAACTTCGAAACAGAAATGTTTTGGAAATATAAGGGAATGAGATAAAATTTTGAAAACACTTTCAAAATGTTTGAATATGTCTATCAGGAGTCAGAGAGATTGTTACCTAAACTGATCTGTATAAGGAAGCTTTGAGTTAATAGAACTAGCAGGAACATGGTTGTGGAGTGACAGCAATGGTTGTTCCGGCAACTTCAAATCCCTCTTCTTGACTGCAGCCACCACAACCTGCACGACACTTGTCAAGGGACTACCTTGTGGCAGTACCTTGACATATATTCTCGTGCCAATGAAAAACACCGCGCACGAACAGAACATGAGGAATGTTGGAATTGCCAACCCGAGAGCCCAGCTCACATTGGATTGCACGTAGACAATAATTGTCAATGAGACCATCATGGCAAAAGTGAACGTGAAGTAGTACCAATTGAAGAAGCTGCTCATTCCTCTCTTGCCTGACTCGGTGTTGGGATTGAATTGGTCAGCTCCAAAGGCTAAGTTACATGGTCGTATGCCACTAGCACCAATCACTAGGAAACCAAATCCAGTTAGTATGAAAACCATTTGCCATGATGTCGGTCCAATGCAGATAGTCTGTCCTGTGGAACAGTGAGGAGGATGGAGCTTTGAGATTGCTGCTGTAAGGGTCAGTATAAGCATCCCCTGTAGTTAAAGATCATAAATCAAATAATAAATAAATAAATAAACGAGGATTGGATGATTGAATGTATCGTAGAAATAGTTGGAAAATTGTAGTTTCTGGTTATTAGTAGAGTTGTTGATGCGAGGTTAATTATACTTTCTGGAGGAAAAAAATGAAGAAGTATTCCAGAAGTAGTTTGAAGTGAAGGTTTCAATTGAAGTGATGGTATATGCATTATGACAAACACTTGAGGATCAAATTCTCAGCTTAGCCCCATCTGGCTCTTTGTTTCACTGTTGTAACTTGTATGCAAGGTTTTAAATATCGGTCATATTGGGTCTTTGTCTTTCCAATATTGCTACATACTAGTATACCAGTCGGACCAAGAATCATGTGTATCATATATATATTGATTCATAGTTGATTCACTAGCCTATTCACATGTAATATAATCAGTTCAGCTACTATAAAACCTTTTATTTTTTTATGATTTAAAAAAGTTCACTAGTGCAATACCCTATTCTCGATAAGTATTATTTGATACTCCTAATACTATTTCATCACGATCAATACCGATACTGCTATTTAAAATCAGGATTGTATGATATTATGTCTTTTTAATCACTATACAGTTGAAAAGATGAATCCCCAAAGTAATTTGAAGTGAGGTTTTCAGTTAAAGTGTTGCTAGATGCATTTTGACAAACACTTGGGGGGTCAAATATACCATGTACTAAATGATTTGTTAGAATCCCTTGCCTTGTTTGGTTTGTCTCTTGGGAGATAATTTTTGCCAAAAATTTTAAAAAATTAATTTGGTTGAAAATTTTTAAAAGAAAAATCCAAAATCACTTTTCTTTTTACTCCACATCAACTATGAAGTAAGGGTATTCCGAAAATGTTGCCGCACTTACTGGGTATTGGTACTCGTATTGATAGGGCTGTATGCGTACCGGGTACTCAAAATATGCACCTAGTACTTTTTGTATATTATTTGGCAGTTGGGTACTTCATGAGTATTTCATGAGTACATCGGGAGTACACCAAGTTATGAGACTTGGTGAGGATACATTTAATTTATTAGAGAGTTCTTATTTACTTAAAATTGCATCTTTTACTTAATGTGCCAAAGATGAAATATGTATTATTCAATGATGAAGTTGATGGAAGTGAAAACTAAAATTTCAAGTTTTTAAATTTTTCTTAGCTTACTTTTGTAATGAAACTTTATTTTATAATTTTTCATATTTAATGGTATTAAAATAGCTTATAAACTTTACTTTGATATTGGTATTATTAAATTATGATTTTTCTCTTTTGGTTTTGTAATTTCTTCTTTTAGTTTTGGTATTGAACTTTGATTTGTAAATTGAATCTCAAACTATAAATTATAAAAAATAAAAAATTTATTGATGTATCCCAGCCGTATTCGTATCCTATTTTTTTTAGGTCTTACTGTATTAACGCACTCGTATCGTACCCGTACCAGTATATGTACCTGCACCCATGCTTCATAGCACATTAATTAATCACTTTTTCTCTCTACTCTCTCCTCTCTCCTTCTCTCACATATCCTATATATCAATCATTTATTTTTTTTTTCTCACACCTATCTACTCAATTACAAAAAAAAAATAAAAAAAAATAATCCCAAACTCTAAAACTATTTTCAAAACATACAATTAAATAAATTTTTAAATTTTGTAAACTCTTTCTAAAAAATTATTTTTCAAAATTATTTCACAAATACAACTAAACATGGTCTCCTATCTCCACCAATGCACTCTTTGAAATACAAAAATACTGAGACACGATCTGTGCCTTGGTAAACACAAATTTGGCTAAATTTCCAAGTTAGCCTAATTTGATTATTTGTCTGACTCATATTATGGATAGAGATGTGTCTTTTTAATCACTATAGAGTTGAGGAATTAGTACCAAGAAGGAGGATATGGAAGCAAAACCCAGAGTTTTATAGCGGCCGAAGAACGCATCAGAGAGGAAAGCTCCTAGCAGGGTACCAAAGTAACAAGTGCCATTGAAGATGTTGATGAGATTAGTTGCAGCAATGGGGTTCATGTTGAAGACAGTGGTGAGGTAGACCAAGAGGTTAGATGAGGTCCCAATTGTTCCCAGCTTCTCAAATGTCTCATTTCCTGCAAATAAAAGAAATATTAAAAAAGACAGTAAGCCCACATAATGTAAAAAAAATGATATTTTGTCTCTATGTCTCAATGCATTGTATGAAAATGTTGAAATACATGAATATCAAGATCGAGACACGTGAATATTAAGATTTGATTCTATGAATGAGTGACAGAGAAACAAAAAAATTTGAAGGCAGAAGGTCGTATGCCGTTTGTGTGCTTGATTTCATGCTCTTTTGTGTTGTGTGAATGTGTGTATGCCCAATTCTAGTTTTCTTTACTAATACTATACCTATCACAAATGGCATGGCTTTGACACCTCTGTACTTAGGCTGATCACTTGTAATCACTTTCTCAGTCTTTTCCATTTTTCTAACAATACTCTCTCTCTTTCTGTCTTCACTTTTCTCCTCTAATGGTGTTTGTTGTGTTATTGCATCAAAGGTGTGTTAAAAGACAAGGTTGCCTTTGAACTTTATAGTAGAGGCTAGATGTCAACCATCAGCCTCGCCACAATTTTTCACCCATATATCCAGCTATACCCCTCTCTCTCTCTCTCATTTTTTAACTCTCCATCAATACTCCTCTCTCTCCCTCGTCCATTCATTCAGATAGCAGTAAGTTTTTTGATCGGAAAAATCATCAAGTGGATAGAGAATTTTGGGTTAACTTGCATGAGGTTACGCGATCACTTTAATTTAATTTTTTTTTTTGGGTAAATTACATTTACCTCCCTTGAGGTTTTTGACAAATACAGAGACCTCCCCTGTGATTTAAATAATTACAGTAACCTCCCCTACTTTACCTAACAATGTCAAGATTCCCCCAAAATTTGACCGCCGTTTATGCACCTAGCCGACCCTGCTGATGTCATCAACTGTAAACACAAAAATACCTAACTTAGATGTATCTAAAAAGTAAAAAATTAGTGAAAAAATATTTTAAAAAATTAATAAATACATAAAAATACAATATATGTACTGAATTGTTATATTTTTTTTTTATATTTTTGGTATTTAGTGAAATTTTAAAATATTTTTTTTACAATTTTTTTACTTTTTAGATGTACTTATGTTAGATGTGTCTAAAAAGTAAAAAAATTGCTTAAAATATTAAAAAAATTCAGTAAAAAAAAAAAAAAAAAGAAATTAAAATTTTTTGAAAAGTATTTTTTACTTTAAACGTTTTTTTTTACTTTTTTAGATGCACCTTACTTAGATGTATCTAAAAAGTAAAAAATTAGTGAAAAAATATTTTAAAAAATTAATAAATACATAAAAATACAAAATATGTACTGAATTGTTATAATTTTTTTTTATATTTTTAGTATTTAGTGAATTTTTAAAATATTTTTTTTACAATTTTTTTACTTGTTAGATGTACTTATGTTAGATGTGTCTAAAAAGTAAAAAAATTACTTAAAATATTAAAAAAATTCAGTAAAAGCAAAAAAAAATAAAAAGAAAATAAATTTTGTTGAAAAGTATTTTTTAAAAAATGAAAACTAGCAAGGCAATTATTATTATTTTTTTTCTCTAGAAACAGACACATATACCCGTTATTATTAAGTGTGTATGATTTCATGATAGGATGGACCACAAATTTTTTTTTTTCTATTGACTAAGGGCCGATTTGGCATGATTTAAAAAAGTTAAAAAATTAAAAAGTCACTAAAAAAAAATCATACTATTCACCTATTTATTGGCGGGAAATCTGTCAAAAAAAAAAAAAAAATTCAAAACAGGTCAGGCTGTGTAGCCATTATTGCAGCAGTCACAATTTCTCATAAAAGTGCAAAACGTGGCATAATGTAAGCACACTTACATTAAAAAAAAAAAAAAAATGAAAAGAGAGAAAGTCAGGGCAACCATACTAGTCTAGGACATAGGGGTAATTTTGTAATTTTGCTATTTTATACAATATTTTAATACATATTTTTTCGTAAAAAGATAAAAATTATCCAAAACAACCATTTTTTTCCTCTATTTTTTAGTCCAAAAAATCAAAAAGTACACTTATTTAAAACACCTCAAACAACCCCAAATATTTATATAAAGTTCTATAATCGAATTATGCCTATTTAGAATTCTCATTCCCAGAATCATCATCATCATGACTAATAGCATTTGCATTATCATACAAATTAAATGTAAAAAATTAGAAAATAAAAAGTGCTCAAAAAATTCATTGAACGGCTGGAAATTATTGTAAATGTAATCCACATCACATTCAAAATAAATCTGAGACAAAAAAAAAAAATGGTAAATTGTTAATCATTTTCAAATAGTTTTATTTATTTGGGAGGCAGAAATAATTTTTAAATTATTTTTTTAATGTTTATTTTTATCAAGGGTCATACGATTAGTTATAAATATCATAATTAAATTATTTTTAGTCACAACTAAAAAAATGTGTCGTAATGATTAGAACTAAAATAGTAATCATAATGAGTTATAACTTACACAATAATGAGTCATAATCAAGTTATAACTAATACTGTATTAAATTATAATCAAAGACTACAAATATTATAACTGTAGCATATAGTATTATAGAATTTCTTCCTATCAAATTAGTTTTTTTATTTGAAAAAAGAAATTAGAAAACTATTTCTGAAATTTTTTTTTGGTGAGGATTAAGAAAGTTGGCGTTGGACTGAGATGTTTGCTTTAAAGTTGTGCTTAAGGACAACGCCAACCCTTAATCAAAAGTTGTGGCACGTGCATGCTTTAAGCTTCAAGCAAGCGTGCAACTTACTTGAAATAAAATAAAAGAAACAAATAAAAGATAAAATTTATCATTTTTAAAATAAAAGATTCGTCAAATTGACCTATATTTTTAGAAATATTACTGTCGCATTATTATAGTCTTCAATTATGTAATTGTATAAAACTTTTCTTTCTTTTGTTGATTAAAAGTGATGCATTAAAACGTAACTCTAAAAGTGATCATAAAATAAATTATATGATACAAATAATATTTATTATCAACAATGATAGAGACCACTAATTTTAGAGCTCTAAAAAGACCACTAATGACATGACACTCAATAAAAAAAGAAAAAAAATACAACTCCAAGGTCAAAACATCAAATCATTTATGGTGAAACTCATTGCCACATCATTAATGATAGCACTAATTAGTACTCTTATTCATTTTCTATTTATTATATACCGTGGACTCTTCGGAGTAAATAAGGCACGCATCCTTTTAACTACTTTTCTAGCTTCATATGATTGTTAGAGCATGTTCAACAATTTATTGTTTTTTCATCTAATTTGATTTTACATTTCTGTAAAAAAAAAAAAATTGATTTGATATGAGTTACTTCAATCTTTTCATTAAATTTTTATTAAAATCTCTTTTAAACATTTGCCTATTATCTCAAATTTCTTTTTTCACCAAATTCAATGGGAAAATCATTCTACAATGCTTTTTTTCCAAAAAAAAATAAAATAAAATTTCAATTTGATAAAAAAGTATTTCTCCCTTGATTTAATAAATAGTTGATGAAATAATTAGAGATGGTTTTTGAACAATTTTTTTTAAAATTTAAATTTAATAATAAAAAAAGTAAAAAGTGAAGATCCTCTTTATATTACTTATGTCACGCCAATGTTTCGTAACCGTTGAATTATTTATTTTGATTCTAGGTCAAAAAGTGGCAAGAACTCCAAATTTGAGATAGGAAAATGAGTTGCTAGTCTCTTGTCATCATTTTCTTGAAAGATAAACTTAACAATGGTAATGATCGAGAAGCCCGTGAGGGTGTTTATCACGCAGAAGAATACAATCCAGAAGAGACAAAATTCAGAAAGAAAAATCAATGTTTCAACCTTTGTAGTGAGGCCATATATTTATAGTTTACATGGTGGCTTTAGATCAATGGTTGGAATGTCAAACCAACATTCACCATGTTTCCAAACATTGTGATTGTTTATTTCAAATTCAAAACTTCCAGTTATATTGCTTCCTGCGAGAAGGTTTTATATTAGCACCAATTGGGTTATGATTCGGTGTGAGACAATCCACCATATTATGGTGTGAACACTCTCATACATTCATCTCCCACTTGATCACACTATAATATTGATGACAAAACTTGAGTTGGACATGTTTACCTCGGTACCAAAATTTTTTGCCTTATGCCAACTTTCATCTATGAAATTACCTCATAGATCGACATCTGATTGTGACTTAGCCATACGTGTGCACGTTTTTGCCACCAATCTGATTGCACCCATACGATTGTGTTCTCCTACTAACAACACACTCCAGATGACTTCAATTCACTATATTTCAAACGAACGACATCAATTTTCAGTGATGGGTTCATAATCCATACCCAATCACCATGGACGACTTCAGCCGTACACATTTTTCATGTGTTGACATGTATGGAAATTATTGTTAAGTACTTCCTTTAAGGCCCATTTCTGAAGGTTTTCCTTAACACACCTTATCAACGACTTTTTACTGATCAAGCAGGCAACATCATCTAGTTAGCACGTTGCATATCATGGACTTTATAACTCATGCTAACTATGATGTCCGTACCTTATCAGTTCCTCTATCTTATTACCTGACCAAACACGTTTCTATGCAAGATAGAGTCGCAAAACATCGGTTATCTAGGCGTCCCCAGATTCATTTGACTATGCTCTTATATAAGTAGCTGAACCACCTAGCTAGGCATTTTTCAATCCCATATTAGCTATATGTTCTCTGAATTTTTCCAGAGACTACCCTTTGGTTATAGGGTCAGCCACTATCTCTTCTGCGGGTATATAATTGACTTTAATTTCACCTCTCTCCACTATGTCCTGAATATAGTGGTAACTTACCTTAATATGTTTTCCCTTAGAGATATTTGCTCCACTTTTTATTAATGAGATGACAGACTAATTGTCATAAAACATATTGACCGGTCTGGTAGGTATGCCTAATTGTAAACTGTCAACAAAACGTCTTATCCATACCGCATCACTCATGGCTGTGCTACAAGCTATGTATTCAGCTTCCATAGTGTACTTTGCAACACAACTCTATTTCTTACTTAACCAAGAAACTGCTGTTCCACCAAACAAGAATACATGACCACTAGTAGATTTTCTATCATCTACATCTCCTGCAAAATTCGCGTCAGTGTATCCTTTTATGTCTAGATCACACAAACCAAAACATAACTTCAAATTTTTAGTTCCTTTTAAATATTTGAATATTCTTTTGATTGTTTGCCAATGTTCTTTACCTAGATTGGATTGAAACCTACTTACCAATCTGACTGCATGACAGATATTAGGTCTTGTGCTTGTTATAGCATACATTAGGCTGTCTACTGCCTGAGCATACGGGACATTTCTCATTTCCTCAACATCAGACTTAGTTTGAGGACTCATACTTTTACTAAGACTTTGTTCTTTGCAAAAATGTGTGCATAAAGAATTATAGTTATCCATATTAAACCTTTTGAGCTCTTTATCTAGATATTTCTCGATATTTCTCTTGGTCTAGATATAATAATTTTGAATTTCTATCACTTGAAATTCTAATTCCTAG